CAGTGTCCAGCTGATATGAAGTGAGGGGAGTTGCACAAGAACACCCATACTTGCAGATAGTACCCACTTGACCTGGCTTCATTGGCTCCACTAGAAGAAGAAAGAAGAGGGGCAAAAAAAGAAGAGTAACCCGCTAAAATTTGATGAACTTTACCTACAGTTATGGATGTAGTAGCTCAAAAGAGGGAACAAATTTTTACTGCAAAGATCACTCCCACACCCCCTCAGTACACAGGGTTGATAGGGATGGGCAAGCTGTTCCACAGGAGAAAGATGAGGCTTTCTGCTCCCGTAAAGATTTACAGCCTCGGAAATCCTGTACAGGGTCACTATGAGACAGAACCGACTCCACGGTACTTAACAACAATAAAGGCAAGAAGTGACTGGTTTACAAGCTTTCAAGAGGGAGTCTAGTTCCAGATGGGGGAGGGGTAGGTAGAATCTCCACTAAATGATTCCCAATCTTTTGGGACCAAGCTGGCGAAAGGAAATGGGGATAGGACTCTTGTGGTACAATAGTGAATAAGTGCCATTAGGACTGACTGTGAGGATCTGAAATGTAGAGGTAGATGCTTTTTGCCAAAAGGAGAGGAGTTATTGATTTTGCAGCCCAGGAGCAGAGGTCCCTGGGACCACCAAATGAGAAGAGTGGAGATCAAGGACCCTACCCAGAGAGGCAGTGACGCCAGGGATGGAGACAGAGACGATGACGTGGACAGATGGAGCGAGCAACTAGGGACACTGAACTCAGGGAGGGAGAGGGGCTATATGCTGACGGCCAGGGGACGGGTTTGTGGGGTGTACCCTTTGGTTATTTGATGATGCATGGAGGGGACTGTAATCATTGCAATGAAATGAAACACAATAGGATTAATGTAAAACTGATGTTCTCCCATGTAAACTCCCATAATCATAATAAAAACTTTAAAAAAGAGAATACTCAAGAGGGTCAACATCAAAAAGAAAAAAAAAAAAAAAAAGGTCACCAACCATTCCTTGGAAACCCAATACAGGGTCGCTATGGGTCAGAACCAATTTGACAGCACTTAACAACAACAAAATCATACCAGAAAGACATATCCATAGATCAGATAAAAACTTAACCTTCGATTTCAAAATGAGCTAAACTGTGTTAAGAAAATGATACAAGATATGAAAGGATAATGTAAAACTAATCTTAGGACAGAATTCAGAAGAGAACTGAAAAGAAAAAATCACCTCAGAAATAAACACTCCACTAGACCGAACATAAATGATGACACTAAGAAAAACAGAAGGTGGAAAAGGAAATTTTTCTAGAGAAAGAGTAAAGATTAAAATCAAAATGAAACACAGTCATGAATAGTAAAGATGGACAGTGGAGCTGCAACATACATGTAACATACAACGTACATGGGAATCCCTGAAAAGGAAAACCTCAACAATTAGTGAACATTATAACACAGAAAAATGTTCCTAAAATGAAAAAAAGAGAAAATATTTTTTAAACTATACATTGACAAAGCACATTGTGTGCCTGAGAATAACATCTACAATAACTAGCACACTAAAATTATTGAATTTCAAAGAAAAAGAAAGAAAATTCTTTGGACATGTAGACAAAAACAACAAGTAACTTATAAGGGGGAAAATTAGATCATCAGTGTTCTTCAACAGTAACACTTCATGCATGCCAGAAAGAAAAAACAATATGAAGTAGCATATTGAAGTCACTCAAGGATTCCAAATCCCAAACCGAGCTGCATGCATAAGGAGCACAAATTATCATCAGCATGCCAGAACTCCAGGGAATACTGTTCTGCTTCCTGAAAAATCTACTAAAGAATGAGCTTCAGACAAGCAAAATAACCAGAGGAGGATCACCTTCGAGTGGATTCCAACCCATAGCAATACTGTATAGGGTTTTCAAGGAGCAGTTGGTGACCTTGAACCACCGACCTTGCAGTTCAAACGGCTTTGCAATCTGACGCATTAACCCACAGTGCCACACCTCCTAATATAAGAAGTTGTTATTGTTGTTGTTGTTGTTAAGTGCCGTCGAGTTGGTTTCGACCCATAGCGAACCTGTACAGGGTTTCCAAGGCTGTAAATCTTTACAGGAGCAAAAAGCCTCATCTTTCTTCCGCGGAGCAACTGGTAGTTTCAAACTGCTGACCTTAAGGTTCGCAGCCCAATTCATAACCACTACGCTACCAGAGCTCCTTAAATATAAGAAGTAGTGAGTATTAACATATAAATCCCAACCTATTGTCGTCCAGTAGATTCCAATTCAAAGCAATCCTGCAGGACAAAGTAGGAATTTCCAGGGCTGTTTATCTTTATGGAGGAGTCCTGGTGTGGCGCTGTGGTTAATGTATTGGACTGCAAAGTGGCTTTGAACTGCAAGGTCGGCAGTTCAAGCTCATCAGCTGCTCCTCGGATACCCTATACAGGGTCGCTATGGGTCGGAACTGACTCGACGGCACTTAACAACAACAATCTTTATGATAAAAAGCTGACCGCCACATCCTTCTCCGCTGTGCCGCTAGAGCTCCATTACTAAACACGTAAAAACCAAAACCAAACCCACTGTCATCAGGTAAACTATGACTTATAGCAGCCCTACATATAAATCTTAACGGAACAGAAAGCCTCATCTTTTTTCTTCAGAGCAGGTTTGAACCAGCAACCTTGCAGTTAGCAGTCCACTGCTTATCCCACAGTGCCACCAGGATCCTTTATTAAACATATAGTTACTTGTAAAATTTTATACTAAATGAAGGCTAAAGAGGAGAGTGTATGTGGTAGCTAAATGCTCAAGCAACAGAAAGTTCACCTATTTTTACTGTGAGAAGAACAGGAGGAATATATATTAAAAATTCTTTTAAATTGTTTTAGTAATTATTTGGTATTGTTGTTGTTAAGTGCAGTTGAGTTGGTTATGACTCATAGCAACCCTGTATAGGGCTCCCAAGGGGTTACTTACGGGTTTGAACTACCAACCTCACAGTTAGCAGTACAGTGCTTATCCTATAATACCACACCAGGACCCATAAAAAATAATATCTGGCGTGGAACTGTAGGATATCAAGGTCAACAGTTCAAACCCATAAGCTCCTTCTTGGAAATCATATACATACAGGGTCCTCTAAGAATTAGGACCAACTCAGCGGCACTTAAAACAACAGCAAAAGTCCTAAATTTGGGTAAGAAGTATCAGTGTGATCTTGTGAAGTATGCTAGAGTAAAAACAATAAATTAATCATTGGTTCTGTCCACTGAAAAGACAACACCAAGCATGAACCTGTAGAAGCCTCTGATTCCAGTTCCCAGTTTATAGGAAATATAGAAGACAAAAGTGTTATATAGACTGAGAATTGGATCCAAAAAGAAGGTATGCTGAAGTTCAACCCCTGTACCCGTGTGACCTTGTTTGGATATAGGATCTTTCTTTGAAGATGTGATCCGCTAGGTTTACATGAGGTCACATCGTAGTATGTGAATCCTAATCACATCTGAGTGGTATCTTATAAAACAGAGCATCGAGGCACACAGAAAAAGATACCATGTGGTGATTGGCAGAACAGTTAGGAAAAGCCTGGAATAATTTCTCTCTCAGAATCCTCAGAAAAGAGCTACCCTACAAAAATTTGAGACAACAAATTTCTGTTCTTTAAAGTCACCCACTTGGTGGTACTTTATTCATTAATGGCAGCTCTAGGAAACTAAGACATAAAGGAACATGTGCGATCATGAAAACCTAGCCCATAGGCCCCTAACTGGTTCAAATGCCTGGGCAAGTCACTGAGAAATTATAAGGAAAACAAAGGAATGAAGACAAAACATTCTATACATTAAACGAAGCTTAAAAGACACATCAAAGTTCTAAAAATGAGTAAAACTAAAACTATAGTTTCTGGAGTTATATGCTTGGCTAATGAAACTATAAAGACTAGGAAAGATGTGTAGCATTTATAAATGTAGTAAACTTCAAGAATATAGTTTATAGCAATATATAATTTACAATAAACACACACACTTTTTAAAGTGTTATGAAACCAACTTGGAACATTTACCCATTACATTAAATATATATTAATAATACACACAATCTTGCCAAAGAGATCAAACATAACCCTAATGAAGCCTCTAGATTCAGCTGCCAATTTTCAGGAAATACACAGGGAATATACCATAAATATATAGTCAGCAAAAACTAGACCATGCACTTCGTAAGTCAAATGCCCTAATTCAAATATTTTGAATTAGGAGATCCATAATAGGTACCCAATAACTATTTGCAATTTAGGCTTTATTTGACTGACATACTTTTTTATTTCAATGCATAGCAGAGTCCAAAGAAGATATGCTGGAGAGACACTGCAACTTAAGAACTGGATTGCTAAACACCAGGTTGGCAGCAGTTCAAATCCATCAGCTGCTTCTCGGAAACCCGATGCAAGGTCACTGAGTCAGAATCGATTCAATGGCACTTAACAACAACAACATATATATAGCATTAAATAAAATTTACTTCTAATTTACTGTCAAAATTTAAATAAAGAATTACTTCATAGCATTCTTTTATAAAAATCAAACACCATTTTCATTGACACATGGAAAAATAATGAGAAGTTTAGGCATATTAACTAATTATAGACTCTAATGCAGAACTGATTTTAACTACATTTCTTTTCCTTTGACCTCAATTTTCTCATATATGATGTAGCTTCATAAACATTATAATGTACATAGTCAGGGCTGTTCTCATAATAAACGTGGTGGGCTGGTTTGAGCAACTCTGTCTCTCTGTCTGGTTCCCAAGTGGTCATCAGCCCAAAACTGTGTGGTATTTGGCTGGGGTTAATGGTCACAGAAAAGCATTCTTCTCTCAGCTAAGCTAGCCCAGATTCCAAAACTATTATATACAGGAACTCGAACTCATTACGAGTATTCTTCAATCAGTTCCATCGACATTTAAAATTTATTCACAATGGTTTAAGAACTTGTGAAAGAATTACCTCAGAAATGTTTTTGTCAGTTTCCTTTCTTTTTTCTTCCAGTTTCCTTTCAATACCTACAATTCCGACAGCCCTTATTCTTCCTGGCTGAAAAACAAAAGAAGAAAGTTAAAAAAAAAAAAAAAATTGGAAGGAAACAAAATCGTTTGTAGCCCACCACATTGTATTTTCAATGGTGGGAAAGGACCTACTGAAAACAAAAACAGCATACAATTACATCTAGCTTCCTTTAAAAACATTTCTTATTATACAGAAAGATCTTTAAGTCATCAAAGAAAAACTTAATATATAATAAATGGCATTATTCTATGTTATACTTTAGCTATAAACTACATGACCCATTCATTTTTGTTTCTTAGTAAGCTACTACACAGAATATTTTTAACAGGGTTTCAAATGTGCAAAAAATAATTGTAGTTAAAATTTGGGCAAATGATAAACTGCCTGTCCATAATTGGCAATTAATATAGATCAGCCTTGCTGAAAGTTAACACTCAGCAATATTGTTCTCTTAAATGTCACTCTTGATTATGAAGAACAGAAATCAATGAGTGGAATCGTCTACCATGATGAGAATTACTCTGGTAAGGAAATATTTATGCTTACTAAGTGTCTCACTGTCTACAGAGCAGTCAGTAAATTAGGTGCTAGAAAAGTAAATTTATAATTAGTGTACTATTATTTTGTTTTTGACATCCAATAATCAGAGTCTTTCCCTTACTGAAGAAGCAAGAAAGCATGGAGTTGAAAATACTGTTTTAGAAATGCCTGGGTCTCCCATGTAAACCCACATAATTCACAATAAAAACTTAAAAAAAAAAAAAAAAAAACAAAACTTAACTGGGGAGTTAGGCTTGCTGACCCACTTGAGCTAGAGCCTTAATGACTTGGGAATGTCCTTTGGGCATTTCTCAGCAGCTCTAAAGGCGCTAAAGGGGCTTTAAGGAGCTCTGGTAGCATAGTGGTTACAAATCGGGCTGTGAATCACAAGGTCAGCAGTTCGAAACTACCAGCTGTTCCGTGGGAGAAAGATGAGGCTTTCGTCTCCCATAAAGATTTACGGCCTCAGAAACCCTGTACAGAGTTGCTATGAGTCAGAACTGACTCCACGGCACATAACCACCACCAAAGAGGCTTTAGAGTCTTGGTGTGGTACTGTGGATTAACTGCAAAGTTGGTTTGAACCGTAATGTCGGCAGTTCAAGCTTACCAGCTGCTCCTCAGAAACCCTATACAGGGTCACTATAGGTCGCAACTGACTCGATGGCCCTTAACAGCAACAACAACAACAAAAAGCTTTGTAACAGTATCTGAGAAATGCAGAGGTCAGACCACGAGGGCAAGTGCCAAAGAGAGGCATGCTTGTGGGCATGACTGAGAAAAGGCTGTCCTGATTAAAGAACTGTGTCCCGAGCATTTCTGGTCCTGATTTGTAACCTGTTAACTATGAGTCTGGTGTCTGAGTCCTGTGTTCCCAGTTCTATGAATTACTGAACCCAGCTGAAAAGAAACTTCTGTAGGAGGGATGGTTGGTGTCATTTTTCTTTTATACAAATAAACCAAAAAATAAATATATAAAAAAGAAATACCTGGGGTCCTCTATTTGTTTGTAATGACTGGGAAACTGGTATATTCTCCCATCTTCTCTGTGTCATTTCCTCGGATAAACGCCTGTAAAACTGTTATGAACAAGCATACACTTTAAAAGAGCCAAGCTGTGGCATCTTCATACAAATCATTACTTAACCTTTTTTTTTCCAGTTTAAGTCTAGAATTTTTGGATACAACAAAAGAAATCAAAGGAAGTTCTTTTCTTAGATCAACCTCAGAGATCACAAAAGAGGGGGAGAAAAAAAAAGGAACTGACCTTACATACAAAGGGGACTACTTTCAAAAAAGAAACGTGACAATGAAATAAATTTACTTTAAACAATCCTGCATCTGTGGATTGTTTTCAATCTATACAGCTAAATAAACATTGTCGTTAGCTGGTTCTGACTCATAGCAACCGTTTGCACAACACAACAAAACAATGCCTGCTCCTGCGCCATCCTCACCATCATTGTCACACTTGAGTCCACTGCTGCTGCCACCATGCCAATTGGTCTCATTGGGGTCTCCCTCTTTTATGCAGACCCTCCACTTTACCATTATGTATGATGCTTTTCTCCAGGGACTGGTACCTCTTGATAACAAGTCCAAAGTTTGAGAGATGAAGCCTTGCCACCTTGGCTTCTAAGGAGAATTCTGGTGTACCTCCTCCAACACAGATTTGCTTGTTTTTCTGGCAATCCACGGTACTTTTAATATTCTTCTCCAACACTGTTACCCAAATGCATTAATTGTACAGTCTTCCTTATTCACTGCCCAACTTTCGCATGCATATGAGGCTACTGAAAATGTCATGGCTTGGGTCAGGCACACCTCAGTTCTCCAACTGACATCTTTGCTCTTGAACATTTTAAATAAGTCTTGTGCAGCAACAGATTTGCCTAATGCAATACATCATTTGATTCTTGACTGCTGCTTCCATGAGTATTGATGGTGGATCCAAGCAAAATGAAGTCTTTGACAACTTCAATCTTTTTTTTATTTATCATGATGTTATTTATTGGTCCAGTTGTGAGGACTTTTATTTTCATTACATTATGGTTCAACCCATACTGAAGGTCCTTGATATTCATCAGTAAGCCCTTTAAGTCCTCTTGTCTTTCAGCAAACAAGGTTGCATCATCTGCATACTGCACGTTGCTAATGAGTCATCCTCCAGTCCTGATGCTGTGTTCTTCATATGGCTTCATTCAGCTTCTCTTATTATTTGCTCAGCGTAAAGACTGAATAAGAATGGTGCGAGAATACAACCCTGGCGCACATCTTTCCTGACTGCAAACCATTCAGTGTCCCCTTGTTCTGTTCAAAAGACTGCCTTTGATCTATGTACAGGTTCCTCACGAGAACAACTACATGGTTCCGGAATACTCATTCTCCGCAATGTTATCCATAACTTTTCAATAAACCAGAATCAATAAAGCATAGGTAAGCATCTTTCTGGTATTCTCTGCTTTCAGCCAAGACTCATCTGACATCAGCAATGAGATCCTTATCCTAACAATGCAGTTTAAAAGCTCTGCCCTGTCAATGTACTCTTGCAGTCATTTTTAAATTACCTTTAGCAAAATCTTACTTGCATGTGATATTAATGATATTTCCTGATGATTTCCACCATTCCATTGGGTCACCTCTTTTTGGAATGGGCACAAATATAGATCTCTTCCAATCAATTTGGCCAGGTAGTTGTATTTCAAATTTCTTGTCACAGTTCCAGGCAAACATTGTTGTTGTTAGGTGCCATCGAGTCAGTACTGACTCACAGTGACCTTATGCACAACAGAACGAAACACTGCCCGATCCTGAGCCAACCTCACTATTGTTGCTACGCTTGAGTCAATCGATGCTGCTGCTTGGTCAATCCATCTCGTTGGGCATCTTCCTCTTTTTCTAAGGGGTAAGATATGTCTATACTAACCTTACCAAACATGATATCCTTCTCCAGCAACTGGTCCCTCCTGACAATATGTCCCAAGTATGAGAGATGGAAGTTTGGCCATCTTGGCCTCCAAGGAGCACTCTGGCTGCACTTCTTCCAACACAGATCTGTTTGTTCTTTTGGCAGCCCATGGCACTTTCAATATTCTCTTCCAACACCATAACTCAAAGCATCAATTCTTCTGTGGTTTTCCTTATTTACTGTCCAGCTTTCACATGCATATAAGGTTATTGAAAATACCATGACTTGGCTCAGGCACACCTTAGTCTTCAGGAAAAATACATAACTATTTTTCACGTTGTTGTTGTTATGTGCCGTGGAGTCGGTTCCGACTCATAGTGACCCTGCACAGGATGTCCAAGGCTGTAAATCTTAATAGGAGCATAAAGCCTTATCTTTTTCCCGCGAACAGCTGGTAGTTTTGAACTGCTGACTGTGAGATTAGCATCCCGATTCATAACCACTATGCTACCAGAGCTCCTTTTCATGAAGGAAGTAGAAAATAATTTGTCTACTTAAAATAAGTAGGTGAAAATGAGGGCTAAGATATGCCTATATTCACAAAAAAATCAAACCTACTTTTCAACTACAGCGAAATAACTTCAGGCACGTGTATTTACTTAGTGCCTATTATGTGAAGAGGACTGGGTAAGGGACTGCAGAGAAAAATAGTAATTTATTATATTGATGGGAAGATAAACAAACATACCTATAAATAAATGCCTTAAGAGCACATTTGAACAATGATTTATCAGTCAGATATATAAACTATTCGAGTGTGAACTAATTTTTGTGTGGAATTCGTCAAGATTAGACTACTTGATTTAAGTCTGTTGAGTTTTCAGACACTAAGACTACTTAGATTACATTGCAGCATACTCAGTCCCTTTAACCAAACTATGTCACTTAAAAATTTACAGTCAGCTAGCATTATTTCCAGCCTCCACTTCTTCCTTGTAACCCTTTATTTCTGTTTTCTGTTCCCACTGTAATCTACACGTCATATCCTCCACTCTCTGGTAAGGTTTAAAATACCATAAAAATTTTATTGTCAAAATATGATTTATTGTAAAAATCTAGTATACTATAGGTGTGGCGCTGTGGACTGATGAATGCGTCAGACTGCAAAGTCGTTTGAACTGCAAGGTCAGTGGTTCAAGCTCACCAGCTGCTCCTTGGAAACCCTATACAGGGTTGCTATGGCTCAGAATTGACTCAATGGCACTTAAAACAACAACATACAATATTGCATTCCATCATATTAACAAGCAATAAAGAAATAAACAGACATACATTTCTGGTCCAACTTTATTCAGATAGAAACTTACCTCAATCTGGCCATGTTCTTTGAAGGAAAGTTTTATGTAGGAATTCTTACTGCTCTGGAATGGACCAGGTTCTTTGTTAGGAGGAGCTGGGTGAAGATGAACTACTATTTTGGCACTAAACAAAGAACAAGTGTAATATATTTAATTGACTTTAAAAATACATCAATTGTATCCTCATAAATTTAAAAATATTTCAGATTACTTTTAAAATTCATATAGAAATGAAAATCACCCTTTAAAAATGTATTAATTAAGGATTAATAAATATTTCAAGAAACTATTTAAAACTATGAAACAAAGGTGATTAATGAATATGTAAACTTACAGAATAAATAAAAAGTAGATCTGCTAAAGTTTGGGTGGTATATGATTAAGGTTCTCTATCTACAGAGTCATCCCCAGAAGTTCTAAGGGGGCTTGTAACTTCTGCCAAAGCATACTACATTAATCATTTGAAAACAAAATGTGAAAACCTATCTGTTTAAAACTGACCAGCTCGTATTTCGTTAAAATTCCACTCCAAACTTAACACGCTACAGCATCATTTGTTGGAAAATGCCACTCAATCAACAGTATGATCTACAAAGTTACCCAATAGCAAAAACAATTCTCAGAATTCATCCTCAAACTGAAGTCTTTGCTCTTTAACACTTTAAAGAGGTCTTATGCAGCAGATTTACCTAATGCAATATCATCATTAAATTTCCTGACTACTGTTTCCATGATGGTTGATTCTTGACTGCTGCTTCCATGAGTATTGACGGTGGATCCAAGAAAAATGAAGTCTCTGACAACTTCCATCTTTTCTCCATTTATCATGATGTTATTTGTTGACTCAGTTGTGAGGGTTTTAGTTTTCTTTACATTGACATGTAATCCATATTGAAGACTGCAGTCTTTGAACTTCATCAGTAAGTATTTCAAGTCTTCTTCGCTTCTAGTAAGTAAGCATGGTTGTGTCATCTACATATCGCAGGTTGTTGATGAGTCTTTCTTCAATTCTGATGCCCATTCTTCTCCACATAATCTAGCTTCTCACATTCTTTGTTCAGCATACAGACTGAACAAATATGGTCAAAGGATACAACCGCCTCAGCACACACCTTTCCTGATTTGAAACCATTCACTATCCCTTTGTTCTGTTCAAACAACTGCCTCTCAGTCTATTCACAAGTGCCTTATGAGCACAATTAAGTTTCTGGAACACTCATTCTTCACAATGTTATTCATAGTTTGTTATGATCCACACAGATGAATGCCTTTGCATAGTCAATAAATAAAGCACAAGTAAACATCTTTCTGGTATTCTCTGCTTTAGCCACATCCTCTTCTGAGTCCAGCTTGAATTTCAAAAGTACATCTCTGTTGATGTACTGCTGCAACTAGATTTTAATTATTTTCAACAGAAATTTACTTGAATGTGATAATATTGTTCGATGGTTTCCACATTCTGTTACATAACATTTCTTTGGAACAAGCCAAATATGGATCTCTTCCAACTGGTTGACCAGGTAAATTGTCTTCTAAGTTTCTTGGTATTGATGAGTGACCTCCTCCAGCGCAGCATCAGTTTGTTGAAACATTTGAATTTGTATTTTATCAATTCCCGGAGCCTTCAGTGAAGCTTGAACTTATTTAAATACCATGGGTTCTGGATTAAAGACCTAAATGTAAATCCCAGAATTATGAAAGGCCATCAATGAAAAATAGGGACAAATGTGAGGGCACTAATTCAGGGAATACACAGACTACAAAACATTTTGAAAACCACACAAACAAAAGCAGACAAATAGATGAGTGGGATATACTAAAAATTAAAAACTTATGTGCATCAAAAGACTTCACCAGAAGAGTTTTACTCTCACACCAACAATAACAGCAAAGATCAAAAATGTAGAGGACAATAAATGCTGGCTGGGAAGTGAGGAGACTAGGACACTCCTGCATTGCTGGTGGGACTGCAAAATGGTCCAACCTCTCTGGAAAGCAATATGGTGCTTCCTCAGAAAGTTGAAAATAGAAATACCTTATGATCCAGCAATCCCTCTACT